AAAGTTTTCGGTACCATTAGTGCGTCAACGTTTGTCAAACGACGAGAAAAGGAAGCGTGAAAGCTGTGTCAATATTGGGAGCAATTTAAACGTAGTCAAGTCAACGGAAACAGGATTAAAAAGGAATAACCCAGCTTCTTACAACGATAAAAGAGAGAAAGAAAGAAGGAAAGAAAGAAAGAAAGAAGTCGTTGAAATAGAAAGAATGGTCGGATCAAACACAGAAACGATTGGTAGCAATCGACTGGTTTGATTTACGAGCAAACCGATTGAATTTAATTCAGAATCGACAGCCGTGCCTCTCGAGCGCTACACCACCGCACCGTACGATTGATTTTGTCTTCTATTCAACGGATTATTTGGAATATCAGCCGCGTAATTGAATTTGTGTAATTGAATCTCCGACATCGATGGGCTGCGATTAATTTTAAGGGCGGTGCTTTTATCGATCCCATCGCAAACTCATTTCAGGTTACCTTAACCCTCGAGGGAAAAATCCCCGAGAAATGCAACGTGAAAAAGTTTTACCGTGATTCGGTGCACAAATTAATAAACATTTTTAACTAGTAGATACTCGAAAATTGTACATATAGGTACATATAGTACGCGAACCTATTTCTATTTCATCTTGAAAATTAAAGGGTGTCAGTCATAACGAATGCGCTTATTGTATTTGAAAATTACTCACTCTTGGTGAAACTCCCACAGCAGGCAACAGACTCCCCATGAATTTTCATGATTCCTGAAATATAAAATAAAAAAATCGAGGTTAGATATTTGACGAGTCGACGAGCTGTTTACTAGCTTAATTTTCTGGCATAACAGAGCGTTTCCAGCAAGAGGAACAAGATCCCTTAAACGCTCTACCCCCGTGGTGGCTAATTTGATCGCGAGATAATAGGTAATCTCGTTGGTGTAGCTGGGCGATTTGGTTTGTAAATAAATTGTCGATCGGCGGAAGCCGCCAGCTATTATGAATATTCCTCGCAGGGGAAAATATAAACGCTGTATTCGCGCATTTTGACCAGGAATTTAATAGGGGAGAAAGAGAGAGGGAGAGAGAGAGAAAGACGATATTCGATCGCGAACCATCGAGCGTTATTGCGTTAGGGCTGACTACGCCGTTTCCAATCTTGAATTATAGGGCTTTCTCACCGGATCGATCGAGATTATGCTGTATTACGCTCGTGATCGCGCGTTTCAGCGTTTTAACGCTCTATAATCCCCTCCCATCCTATACGGTTTTCCTATAGGTACACTTGATCATTTGTTTATCTTCTTTCAAAGTGTCCAAACGATAAGATTCTTGTAAATTAAAACGATTATTATTTCTAATTCGAAACGAAGCCTACAACAATATTCCCATTTTCCGTTTTGAACAGGCATCCGTCGTTCTTGAGAACATACCGTGATAGTTAATTAAGTTGCATACATTTATGAAATTAATTAGAAACGTGGTAAAAATTTTCTTGAAAACAGACGCATCGTAGGAAGAAATTGTATTTCTCGTTTCTCACTTATTCATGTCTCAACCCTTTTTGACTAATTAAAGCGTAGCACGTAACATTAATTAACACGTTGCTTCTGTGTACGAATGGGATCAGGCGTTTTAGGATGAAAAATTAGGCGACGTAATTGACACCAGCGCAGCGCAGCGGTTCCTTCAAGCGCTCCCAATAAATCGTCCTCGATTACTTTTTCTCGATCCTTCTTTCTCTGTTTCCGTGGCAGCTCGATCCTTTTCTCTTGAAGGGGCGAAAGCTTCGAACAAATGAAACCTTCGAACTCGTTACAGCTACGCGAAGAAACGAATTTATCGTCGAAATTCAGGTCAAAGGTCCATCGGGTAAAAATTGAACTCCATCGAGTTAAGAACTTTCGCCTCCTTTCTAATGACGGAACCGAGTGGTTTCCGATTAAATTGATATTTTCATTCAATTTTCCCATACTTTGTATGGACCAACTAGATGAACACAAACGTGGAAGCCTGTTTTCATCGATGAAATATATTTCAAAGACGAATGGAGACGAATAGCGTGGTAAATAATTATCCGGCTGTTGGAAAATTGACAGTCAAGAAGCAGCATCGGAACCTGAATAATTATCAAGGTTATCAAGGAATTAGTTATAGCGAATCGAGCAGAGCCACGCCTGTTTCGCGTCGAGCACAATTTGACGGCGATTGTCATAGCCTGGCCGATCTGCGACTCGACACACCGTATACGTATAAGTACATATATGTTATGTAGATGCACCCGTTAAGCTGACTGCCGATAGAACTTGTCCAAGTTGCAACAGCGAGACTGCACGTTCCCAAGTTCGCGTTTGATTCAGCGAAATAGTTACCGTGATAACTTTACACTCGATCCCTCTATGCTTGCTACAGGATTAACGTCGAAAACTAGATCCTCGTATATGCACAGAAACAGATTATTTCCTAGGAGTGTAGAAATTTCAAAACTCTCCATCTCATCAAAGAATTTCTACGAATAAGTCCTTGCGTTTTGTGTTCTGCAACTTTCCTACACTGACTTTCCACACTTCTCATCGTCAGAGTTAAAGTTAATCAAGTCTTAAGCTTTCGTCTTAAAGCTTTTCTCGCAGTCTCAAGCCATCTTTCATTACTTTTGCACAATGTTGCATTCACTCGTTATTGCTCTCTCGACTTGAACCGGGACTACTTAACCAGACCGTTATATTTCCGCCAACTTGTTCGTAATATTATACAATTCAGAACTACATCAATGTTCTCTTTTCGTGGTAAGCTTGTAATTCGTCGTAGCATAGAAACAATTCTAGCTGAAAATACACCAAACGCATCCATCACAACCATCATAACCGTGCTTTCCTCCTTGAAAAGGAGAAAAGAGAAAAAGGAAGAGGAGAGAAAAGAACGTCTGGAGAGCGTGGCATGTTCTTAAAAGCACGAACTTTCCGCCGCGCCGCCGCCGCACCACCGCGCCGCAGCATTGATTGGCAGCGTGTCGGAAGAAATTGTGGACGGTAGAAGGAGGACTCTCGCACTAACCCTCGTTTTCTTTTCTCTTGCCAACACGCCGCTCCTTCCAAGGGCGCGATTACCATTTTATCGGGTCTGATTTGCGAGCACTTTACACGAACCCTGTTACTAGATGGGGGATTGCCAGCGAACTGGTGCACTTACCAGCAACCTCGTCGCTCTTTCGAGGGGATTTTAGCCAGGTACCAGGTGCCACCTCTTGCGTACCAGATGCCTACCTCTTTTATATTGATGCACGCGTGTGCATTCAACGACACAAGTCGATACCTACGATATCCGAGAAAATATCTTTATTATACTCAAACTTTTTCTCTTTTCTTTCCTTTTTTCTCGAAATATCAATAGGTTGTGTAGGTACCTATCGCTTGAAACTGACAATGAGATACGATTAAACTTTTAATTGATAAAACCATAGAGATTATTATTGTTGTTTTTTGTCAACTATCTTACTATAAGACTTGGAGTATTTACGAGTTACCCGTTAGCGAGAGTCGATTCTCATTGTCGGCTAACGAGCGTTCAGCGTCCCCTCGAAAAACGAGGACGCGCGATAATGCACCAGCTGAGCACTAACCCTCTCGTGATTGCTTGCCAACACTCGATTTATCGATCAACACTTGTTGTGCGGTTTCTTGAACCTCGTCGTCTTAACGTTTCACATCGTGCAATAACGTGCGACAACTTTCTTTCTAGCCAACCCTCTTTATATCGAGAGCGTTTGTTTGCTGTTGCAAGTGCTTTCGTCTATCTTTTCCGTCGTTGCAAATCCACATACGGTGAAATTACGTTGTTAATTCGAAACCGCAAATCGAGATAAGCTTCTAGCGATCCTTTGAAAAACATTATACGTTGGTGTCAACGTTACTCAAACTCTACCAGTCTTGTCTAATATAAAAATGGAGATCGATGCGAATAATAAATAGGAAATCACGTATGTATGTGTGAATTTCAATCTGACCCAGGATGAAAACAATGTTTGCCGACGTCTCGCGGTTTATCGTGCAACTCGATACGAGTTTGGTGAATCGATCACAAATATCATAAACAGCGTCGCATCGGAAGAAAGCTTCGTGTAAACAGTGATTTAATTCGATTCTGTAATTTTCGAGGGCTGGATCATCGCGTCGCGTCGGATTAATTGGAATCGCAGATAATCGGAATCGTGTTGTCTGTCAATTATTGTTCAACGAACGAATTGAAACGTACATTGATTACGTTTTGCGCTGGACGATCATCGAATCTCACGTTTGGATTAATAATTCGTTGTAAATCGAACAAGAATAATAAAGCGTGAACAGTGTATGGCTGGAACGTTGGTTGGGGTGAAAAAAGTCCCTTGAGAAAAACCACGCCGCTTCCGCAATGAAACTGTTGTCTGAAATTAACGAGCCGCTCGTGTACCAATCGCACGGATGGCTGGTAAACAATTATTAGCCCATTATCTCGCGAACATTAATTACCCTCGATTAAACTATAAACTATAAACTATAAACTGCTCGCCGTAATTACTCGGCGTGGCCGAGTTCCAACACGGATAAAAAGAATTCTCTTCTGCCAATACTGGCTGGACGATCTTTTACTTTTTGCCATAATAATAATTAGAAGTGGTACTGGATTTCTCTTATAAAAAGTTTCAAGATTCTTTCTTGAGAAAGAAAAGGAAAGTGGGTACATATCGTAAAATGAGTTGAAGAATGACCTATCAGAAACAGAAGCATTAGTAGAGAATATTCCATGCACAGTGCACAGTGCACAGTTGCACACATGGGGATGTGCAACGAGCGTAATCACCAAGGTGGAATCCCATTTTTCCAAGCCACGCGACCACTGGTCATGCAAGAGTCGTAATTACCTCGCGTAATTAGCAGATAACAGATAGACAGAGATACAGAAACCTTGGTTTCCAACGTGTCCTGCACGGCCTGCACCGGCCACGTTATGCTGGTTCACGATGCGAGAATAACGAGTCCAACCAGCTCGATTACTCTTTCTTCTTTTTCATTTTCTTTTTCTTTCGTCGAAAAGATTTCAACTCGTTGCGCTCGTGGCCTGTGAATTATTACAATACGGCTCGCGCGAATGCTCGCAATTATGAATCTATTAAAGAGATCCTTAAAAATATTACTTTGCAGATACGACGAATGCGATAACAGGTATTTCCTCTCACCCTGCCACTATTCTGGTATCCCCTAAATTTCAGACAAGCCTAATTTCCAAGTTGTCATAGACATCCCAGATGTGGCCATTCAAATAGTTGGTCGACGACGTTTAAACGAGTTTCCAGCAGAATAGAAACGTCGAGTCGAGGAAAAAGGGGGATGAGAGCAGACCGATGATCATGAAGAAACTTTTCCCGTTTCCCGTTTCCCGTTTCCCGTTTCCCGTGATTCGTTGGCTGTCGAGAACGGGTCCAAGGGTGATTATCGTACCTTTTGGCCGGCCAGTTCGCGACACAATCCGATTAGACGATTTAAAATCGATGAGAGGCTCGACTGGTGACGGATGGAAAGTGGACGATGGCTGATGGAATCGTGTTAAACTGCCAGGGGTGGAAACTGCTAGGGACGGCGCGGCGACCGGACAGCGCGGCGGTTCGCAATTACCATTCATTACTTTGTTGGGACCAATTGACATAACTGATTGGTATTCGGCTGCCACGCCACCCTCAAAGGACCTTCGAAGCACGGGAAGGGTGCTAATGCAGTTAGCCACGTCTGATCGTGAGTGCAATGTTGCTTCCATCTATCCAACGGATCCTATCCAACAAATTGTCAATTATTATATATGTATGGTATAACAAGGCCATCTTTTTTCATTTCTGGATATCGATGTCAGCCCATGCTATTAGAGTAGGTCAATCAAGACGATAATAAATATCAGCTGTTATTTTCAAGATTACGAAGGGAATTTCAAAGACTAGAGATCGATAATATCGAAGAACACTTAATTTCTTTAACTATTGCTCGTGAATGGACGATAAGCTATCGACGTATAATGCTAAATAGTGAACATCGAACCCGATTGTTCGCCTCTATTTGCCCGCGTGTGAAACATCCCCCGTGAGAAACATTTCCCCTGATCAAGAGGGGAACGTTGGACGGTATTGGCCGGCTGGATTTTATACCGCTCCGAATCCAATTACCCTGAATAATTTATCGGCGAATCACAGACGTTAATGACATCGGGTCGAATTAAGCGAGCTTTGGAAAAGTGCACCGGCCACTGGAGTCCGCGAGAACACGCTCCTGTCGCCAATTAGTATTCATGTCATGGATAAAGTTCGCGTTTTTACGTCGACCTCGACCAGTTCGATTATTCACGCCACTCGATGTAACTGCCTCCTGATTTCGTATTCCTTTTTTATCGCTTTTCGATCACTCTACTCGCGCTATATCATTTTGGGGCTCGTTCTTGCGTTTTCCATTTTTTTTGTCCCTCTACATCTACACGTTTCTAATTTCTAATTATTAATATAATAATTCGAGAAACGTTGAAACTAAATACTGCCAAGACCTCTTACCATTTCTTTTCACGCTTTTGTCGTTTGTTAACGAAAAGAAAAAGTGGAAAAAGTGGAAAAAGCGGAAAAAGGAAGGAAGGAAGAAGGAAGTTAGCGATTACCTAAATCGTCCTTTGAAATTGCCCATCATTCCCGCAACGAATCCTACAAGTATGCAAGAAGTTTGCCGGGACGGGGAAACGATCGTTCAACGTCGTCGACAGGAAGGGGTCGCAAAAACCGCTCGACGGATGCAGTTCGCTGCGTTAAACGGAAATCGTTTCAGCGAAATTCGGAGAAACCTGACTTCCTCGCTTCCCGGTGAGAGAAACTGGTCTAAATGGCTCGAAAATTGTAACAGCCTTCCCGATCTTATTAGCCGAATTAGCCGCTATTTATCAGTTAACTTTCCCTTCAGCCCGACACCTCGTCCAGAATATCGCTTAGTCAGATTTTGCGGGATGAGAGAAGAGGACTAAGAATCGGGGCTCGAGAGGAAAGTTGGCCGTTACAGGGAAATATATCTTTCGACTTTTTTCGTTTGACACGACCAGAGGGGGCGGGGGGCTGAAACTTATAAAAGTTTTAATGATTTCTCCTGTACTGCAGGCTATCTGATCAACTTTTACGAAACGAATCGTTTCTGATTTTTTAAAAGAACAATGTCTTAAAACTGTTAGACAGTAACGTTGCGTACCGTTGAATTTCCACTTCTAAACCGGACAAAAGATGGAAAAGTTTCAAGCGAGCTAACTAAATTACCCAAGTGACAATAACAAATTTCAAGTGTCTGAAATTTCGATCTGAAATTTCCTATGAAAAGAAAAAAAGTGCTAATAAACGTTGAAATATTTTACGTCGATATTGCAGGTGGATAATCTGCGGATCGTGCAACGAGCCACCTCCCGGTTCAGCCCGTTCGACCCGTTCAGCCAGCCGAGAATAGGGTTCGCGACAAAAGCAGGGGTGAGTTGAGCTATTTTTAATCCGTCGACGCGGCACGCTCGTTAACGCGCTTCGATTTTATGATAATGTAGCCTCGCTAACGAGCTAATGCCTGATAAACCGTAGCAGGGTTACGCGATCCTCTCGCAACATCCCTTTGAAGACGCGCGCACGGATTAATTTTATTATTGTCTCGTCGAGACTTTATTTTGCACGCCGTGTTGAGGCTGTGAAAAGGGGTAGGTGCTCGAAAATTCATGATCCACAGGGTGAAAAGGCGCCGAAAGAGTTGCCGCGAAGAAAAAAAGAAATCGTGAATAAGACATACATACCTACCTATTTGGGATAGATTGCTACCTACATATTTTTTAATATAGTCCAGTTATTCCTATTCCTGCGGTAGAAAAGAAACAACGCGAGCATGATTGATCTTATCAGGGTGAAACGTTGAGGGTAACTCGGTATCCCAGTAAAATGGAGGCCATAGACGAGATGTCTACGTCGATTCTCGACGGGGCCAACTCGAGAGGAACACGTTCTGAATACATGCACCGTGTGTACAGAAATGAAGCCGATGTTGCGCGAGTGCACAAGTTTTCCGAGTGTTCCTCGGTAACGTCTGAAAGAGGACGAGAAAGAACAGTGAAGAAGGGACAGAAGGATAGGTTGAAGAATATGCACTCAACGTGATTGGTGCACCGCTGCATCGCTGCATCGTTGCACCGACTCAACTACCAAGGCTGTCTGCATGAAAACTTGAGAATTTCCACTCGGCCACTCGTGTGCGTACGGTCTTCTTACCCTTTCGAGCTACACGTTCCAAGAACAACCAAACACAACGCTCTCGCGATTCTGGCTACCGCTGAATTCTTGGAAAATTTCGAGGAAGCATTATCAACCTATCGAAACTATCGAATCGATTTCTATCATTTTTTTTTACAAAATTGCTTCTTCTATCGAGAGCAAAACTCGTTTCTGCGGTGTAACGGGACTTCCTTCTCTTTTACATTCGAAAGACCACAATATTAAACAGCAAATTACATAGAATTACCGCGAAAAATAAAATCTCCCGTCGCGTCGCGTCGCGTCGCATCCCGTCGCGTCGCGACGGAGAAATGAATTCTCCTAAGGTATTAAAAATTAAAGACGTCAACGGAAGTGGCCGGAATAACTTTGTTCGGTATTCACGTTTCCCATTCCAGCTGCAACTTTTTCTCAGACGTTCTCAAGCATACCGCGTAATTATTCTATGAATATTCGGATATTCATGAAAGTCTCTATAAAATAGCTGGCGGACGCTGGCTTGCTAAATAATTCAATTACATGAAACCCGGAAGCGGACAGTTAATTAACAGACCGTGGAGATTGGCTGTTGCGTCGGTTCCTTTTTTCTTTTTTCTTTTTTCTCTCCTTCGATCATGCAATTTCAACGAAAAACCGTAAAAATATGATGAAACAGAGAGTTTTACTTTCTAATAGAAAGTTAAAGAACCAATGAAATTTTCATACTATGTACCGAGCGTGCGATCAAGATTTTTTCACAGTGTAATTAATTTGCGAATCGTTTTTCAACCAGTTTCGTGGAAATCTAATGGGTTCTATAATTTTCTAAACGAATAAAGTTATAGAATATTTAAAGAAAATTCATTTTTTTACTTTCTTCGATGTGTGTTATTTGTTTTTCTTAATTACGAGTAAATGAAACTCCAAGTAAAGAGACGGCAATAAAAATTGCCATATCAATGAAAATTAATTTTATTACTCACAATTATTTACATTGATCAATGATTCTCGTCAGTCAAAGTAATACACGTATGTATATCTAGACATTTCATTAATACTATCCAAGGATCACGCGAGTGGAAATTGAACCACCTTTAATCACGCGGCTGTGTCAAGTGTTACAATAACACGATAAAAATTGTTAAATAATAATGGGCTTGGTTTGCGGCAATTGCAAGATCGCTGTAAATTATATCTAATTATAGGAAAGTTTGATCTTCGTACCAGAGTTATAAAACATGAAAAGAAGCAGACATAAATTCTCGTTTCCAAACGCAAACGGAAACGTGTTATTAGAAAATAAAGAAAGAAAGAAAGAAAGAAAAGTACTAATCGTGTGGAGAATTAATGGAGATTAGGAGTAACGTAGACGACCGAAGCAGCCCCAGGTAGCCTGATATTGGCTGGATTGACCCTTGTACCTACTACAAGTTCAGACCCAACGCTGGAGGTGTATACCAATAGATCAGACGGAACATTCAACACGCTCGTGACGTTGACAGTGACAGAAGTTTCGGAAAAGTTGATCAAGAGCACGGCAGCCCTGGATCCTATACTACGAACAACAGCCAAAACGTTTTTCGAAAGCTCCAACACGTTCAGATAACTGTGAGCGACAGCGGATTTGTCCTTCAAAGCGGCCAAAGCTTTGAACACCTTGTAATGGGACACTGCTGCCTCTTTCTGTGCCGCTAGATTCAGATACTTGTAATTGCTATTGACGGGCAACCAAGTGACATTTGTGGTAGAGAATCCAGCGCTGATAGTATTGTCCCATTGGTAGGGAGTTCTTTCAGGGTCTCTCGACTTGAGATAGTACCTCTCCGGGCCAGCATTGCATCCAGGCGGGTCGATGGTCTCCTTGTAGGTGAAATTCCTGTCCTCCATTCCGATTTCGTCGCCGTTGTAAATAACAGCTATTCCAGGAAGCAACATCGACAACATGGAAATTTGATCAGCTCGTCTGCTACCGAATCTCGTCGCTACGCGGTGGTTGTCGTGATTTCCAACCACCCAGTTAGACACCTTCCCTTTTGGCACACTGCTCACCCACTTGTCGATCAGTCTCTTGAAGTCTGCCGCGCTGGACTGGTTGTTCAGCTCGGCGATGAACATAAAATTGAAGGGTATGGAACCAGCGGTGTAATACTTGATCGTTTGTTCGTGGTTGGCGTACGCTTCCGTGATAATCATCTTTGATTCAGAATTGCTATTGTCAGAGTGGTCGTCCAACAATTTTCTCCAGCCCTTTAGCACCTCGTAAGTTTCATTCAGGTTTTTTGTGTAAATATGAAGCAGACTGTCGTAATCGTCATCAGGGACACCGGTCACGTTTGCCTTCGGTTCGTCACGGAAATTAGGGTCCTCGAACAGATGATTAATCGCGTCGATACGGAATCCATCGACTCCGCGGTTCATCCAGAAGGTCAGTACGTCCATCATCTCCTGATTCAACCTTTCGCTATGGTAATTCAAATCCGGTTGACCCCTTGCGAACTGATGCAGGTAATACTGTTTGCGTAAGTCATTCCATTCCCAAGCTGAGCCTCCAAAGTTGCTCAACCAGTTGTTCGGCGGATGTCTGTTTCCATTCACGATCTTGGCATCGCGCCATACGTAGTACTCGTCGTACGGTTTGATCCTTTGTATGCTCTTCTTGAACCACGGATGCTCGTGGGAACTGTGGTTAGGCACAAAATCCAAGATCACCTTCAGTCTAAGGTACCTGGCCTTGGCCACGAATCGGTCAAAATCGGCCAAGGTGCCGTAGTCTGAGTCGATGTTCGTAAAGTTGGAAATGTCGTAACCGAAATCGACCTGTGGACTCGAGAAGATGGGGGACAACCAAACAGCCTTGGCACCGATGTCCTTTACATGGTCTAGCTTGCTGGTAATGCCGTTCAAGTCACCGATACCGTCTCCGTTGCTGTCTTTGAAGCTTCTCGGGTAAATTTGATAGACAACGGTGCCACGTTTGTACCAGTTGGTGCTGGGTTCCGCGACAACGAGCAGCGCAAACAGCGCGAAACACGCGACCAAAAATAATCGAACCATGCCGTCGAGTAACTAACGATTGCTCGTCGAGCAACGGCCCTTTATAAAACTCTTTATAAAACTCCTACGATCAGATTGTAAGATAAGAAAACAGACAAGTGACTCTGATAGATACCTTTAATCGATCGATCGATCGATTACGCCGACAAAAACAAGGTGCTTTTACATTTCAAGTGATCGTTGACAAGATAAGACGACTAGATACCGACCTGTTTGTTACACATTCTACTTCTCCTTCGATCTTTTCATCTTATCGATGCTGTTTACGAAATCGCTTTGATAAGAAGGAAAAAAAAGATAGATCAATTAATATGATACAATTGCAAAATTTTCCAGAGTTCTCTTCGCAAATAGAGTTACCTAACATACATGTGTTTCTGCGATAATCTAATTGTATTCGTATTTATCACGCGATAGAAAGAATTTCATTGATTTCGAGTAAGGAAAGACACGCGTGTGTGTCGGGCTCCGACAAACGATTTATCAAAATTTCAGTTATCGATAAAACCGAAATTTTCAATCGATTTCTCGCGCCTGGTATAGGGGTAGGAGGTAGGTACGATTTAAAACGGATCCTGCAAAGAGATAGTTCATCGGGAGCCAACGGTCTGCCAATATTCATCAAATTTTCAACGATGTCATGGGTCGACCTCGTTTTTTTTCCTACGACCGATTCGATCGCATGTTCCGGATAAAAGAAACATTCTCAAAATCCCATGCAAGAATGTTTTCTGACGCGTGGAAAAGCGAAAAACTATTGGAGCCATTTTCCCATTTTGACATAACTTCCCGTTCAACGATAAGCGAGGAGCGAAATTTCTACAATTTAAATTAAAATCGTACAAACGCATAGAATAAATGTCGGTTTACGATAGTTGTAGACGGTTTCATCAGTGATTTACGTTCAAAGATACGCGTAGATTCAGCTGCGGGCAAAGATTAACATGGATTCTCGTGTAGAAACAGCAGGAACGCGAACGGAAAGGGGACAAAGTTTCACCAGAGCATTATTTATGCTCGCAATTTTCTTCTTGGCTTATTGCGAACTGCATTCATTCATTGTCTACACCGCACCAGAGACAATTTCACTGGAACAATGAATTATTCATACTATAAACGTTCGTTCCGTCCTATCCCTCCCCCACCGTGTCGCGTCGTCGCGACGCGTCATTATCACTTCTCTACGATTTTTTAATCTTACTTACTTTCTAACTGTACCTTATATTTCAGCCTATTTTCATCCATGATATAATTCATTCCATGATAATCTATCTATCTAGAATTAGGAAATATTTGTCAGAAAGAGGTGTTTAGCTAATTTTCATATGCATTTTTTAATGCACAGGGTGATGCTTTTCCAGAATGGACGATCGTTTCGAAAGGGCAAAGTAGACGAGGGATTGGCACGGCTCTGTTGTAACGGGGCCACGTTATGTCAGCCACCCTTGCTACCAAGGGGTAGTCAAACAACCCCCTCGCAGTTTACGGCCGTAATTAACTTCCTAGGTTATTAGCCCTCGTTCGCGGTTGTAGCCTGCTACTCCACAGGACTCTGTCTCACGACTCTTTCCAGGGGGAAATCCTCCCTCACTGCATCCCCCTTTTGCCCCTTTTGCCCCTTTTGCCCCTTTTGCCCCTTTTGCGGCTCGACTTTCATCTGACGCAGACGAGGCATTTTTCGATCAAGTTTGCAACGAACGCTCAACCACGCTCACCGTGTAAACGAATAAAGCTGCTTGTGATCGATAATTGAGCGGAAAATTGCTTGCTGCTCTTTCCAACAATTTCTCCTTCTAGGTATGTACATACGTATTTACACGGAACAATTTTGTTAATAAAGATTTCATTTGTCAGATCTTTCTGTCTTCGATATAGTTAGATAGGAAATTTCGAAAAAATTAGGCTAGATAAAAGTTCAATCACCTACATAACTACATATTTACATATGTCAAAGTTTTCTCTATTTACACTAAGCGTACTTGGAAGCACGTAAAATGCAGAACACATGGTTAACGATGCGATCGACATCGAACAAATTGGGAGGAACGAAAGAGAATAGCTGTGGAGGTGAAACGTTGGGAAAAGCATCGACTCTACTCGTTACATGCGTATCGCTAAACAGTCGTGCATCCGAGCGGAGTGCAAATTAATTAACCCGTGCATGCATTATTATCGAAAGCACAACACGCCTGGCCCGGCCAATGCGATCCTAATTAAATTTTCAGTACGCCCGGGTCCATCCGGTGAATCAACATCGTTCGAATACCATGAAATTAAATGAAAGCACGTTCTTCGAATAACTGCGGCGACATTAACGAGACATGTGCGCTAACGCACACCATTGGGAAACTGTGGACGTTCCTTTTAGTTTCTTTTCGAATATGCTTGGACCATGTGTTCTTGTCCAATGGGTCAATTTCCTGGTTGCTTTACAAATTCTTACAATTCAACGGTCTTTTGTGAGACTTACTTTCATGGAAATGAAAACTGTCCGTCTCCAGGTCTATATGTATGTATGTATATTGTAGGTATGTCTCATCAGCCGTTGTCTGGCACCTCATTACACTCGCGAATAGTTTGAAAATGGGGGAAATGAGACGGGTTCGGCTGAGAAGGGTTTTCGTTAGCTACGAAGAATTCAGACGTACAATAAAAAGCTAGCTTAGACGTGACATTGTGCCGTAAAAGTGGCTACGGGGTCCGAATAACGCTTCTCTCCGAGTACGTTTCAGTTTTTCTCCACAGAAATGTTACCGTACAATAAATTAGCATAAAATTATCATCACTTGATGAATAGAATAATAAATGAATAGAAAATCGACATTTTTACTTTCAGCTTATTATCAAGTTCTGTAGTGGTCAATGTTTTAGTCAGCATTGAAATGGCAGGAAACGAGAAAAAGGTGAGCAGAGGGTGGTCGAAGAACGTTTAGCTGCGTTCTGGTTCGTTCAACGATGTGAAAAAAAGTCTTTTTTCAGGGTTGATAAAGAGGGTACGGTTGCCAGGCAACTTGTCGACTGGCATAAAATTGCGCGTTACTTGGATCCACGTATTTTCCTAGGTAGTGCGTTTTAATTACAGCTAGCCAGCTCGGCCTCTTATAACGGTGCTCCAATCGTAAGCATGCCACGCTATTAACCCCAAGATTATTCCTACTAATTATTTTAATTGCAACCGTGAAGAAACTGAAGAGGTGCAAACCTCTACGACTACTACAACTCTACAACGATTTAAATCGTTCATGATTCTTAATGATATTTTCTTATATTTTGTAAATATTCCCCCCTTTTGGTCTGGTGGGTAGCTCGGTTTCCCTGGATTCGGTTCGTCCAGACGAATTTTGATTAATTTCAAAACTTTACTTTACTTTCGTCTTATTTAATACTTGGCTGACCTCGCGACGTAAAAAGCGACAAGCTTCAAGAATTTTCACCTTCAACTGTAAGCTGCTTGGCTTGCAAACGATACGACTTTGCCTTGATATTACTTTTCTTTGTATTAAAAGCCGGACCGCAATGCAAGAAGTTTCTTAATTACGCGTTTCTCGGATCTCCTCTATAATCTATTCAATGTTCATGGATACTTTACAGCCACGTATATTGCTATCTGTCCACTATCAAAGGATTTTCACGTTTCGTCCTAAATAGCTATATCTATGCTGATTTACACGCTAGTTAATAATAATATATGGAGAAATTTTTATAAACTTGATAATAAAAGGATATGAATCTTTCCAAGCACGTTTACCAAATTATTATTCGCCAAGTCAGCCAGTTTTCACAGACGCCAAGTATTTCAGAGACGTGACACGTATTTATGCCACAGTATGACACGAATAGAGAACCTCCTGGTTCCTCCCGCTAATGAACACTTTTAATTGGAGTGTCCGCTTTCCTGTGCATCATTCGCGAAGTGGCTTTCTCTGTATAGAAATATTTCAGATAATGCTACACACGGTGACATCGGTGCACACTTTCAAGCAAACATTTTGCAGCAAAAGCAGCGTTTGAAATGGGTAAAGTGAAGGGAACAGAAGCAGAGTAGTAATTTTGCTTGACTTTGTTATTACGTTACGTTGCGTTGCTTCGCTGCTACACGAATATTCCCCCTAGCTTCCGGTCAATTTCTGGATTCGCTGATTTTTCTGTTTCTCGTTGCCGAGAGATTCTATGTATGTAGTACGATATATCCAGCAGCTGCTACGTTCGAAACCGCTCCCTGCCAATTTCCATTCGAGAGACACAGCGATAGCCTTTTACCTTAACAATTAGTTGAAAAATATGAATTGCAAAACTTATGTACCTATGTACCAACGCGAACGAGCTTCTATGAAAATTGCAATTTTCGAGACTTCGAGACTTAACCATTAGATATCAAATTAAATTTTAATTCTTCTCCGGATATTCTTCGTTCTTCACCTCTTTTGTTTTTCTTTCCTTTTTTCTTTGTTTTCTTCGTTTCCTCAAATGAAATTTAACGCAGTCCAATTTCAAGCCGAAGCGAGCACGAAAATTACCAGTCGTAACGTGAAGCTTGAATTTAAAAGCTTACAATTATCCTTGTCCACGCGCGGTACATACGTGGTTTTAAACGTGGAAATACCTGAAGCGGAGGTATCACTGTTCGCTTAATCATTGCATAGGTATTTAAAATAAATATTTCAAATACAAAGTGCTAGTTATTTTTAGGAGAATTCCACTACGCAAGATTTTTACACCGATAGAAGCAATACGAGTACCTACCTATATCAATCATTCATATCGGTCATTTTCTTGTCTTCAGTTTCGACCGGTGTGTAATTAGCAAATCTGCAGGAAGCATCGTTGGGCACGAACTGTTTGCCTCGAGAAGATCCATCGAGGCGTAATCATCGTGTGATGTCACAGTCGATCTGACGATTATCGTTGCAGCGTAAAATAGCCGGATTCCTGACCGAAAGCTTGCATTCTAGCGGTAGGTGTCGAACGCCAAACGGAATTCATCCAATTGACGGACATTCGGGTGACGCTAATGCTCTTCAACCCTTTGAGTATACATAGG